TATATATATATATGGCTGGGATATAGCTCAGTGCAAAGGTCCAGGATCAAATCAATTTCCAATATTGAAAAAAGAAAACATTATAATGATAAATCAGTTGATTAGAAGATGAGAACGTTTCTTGCATTAATGGACCAGCCATGAGCTAGAAAACTGATGTATGGGTGTTTTATACAGGACTCTTCTGTAAGACCAGTGGGCCATGTGTAGGCTTGTGGCTAAAGGATTACATCTGGTCTTAGTTACCTAGCCACAAGAGTTTTCTAGTTTTACACATCTTGAGAACAAAGACCATCACTTCCTTGGACTGTTCTCTTAGTGATTACTTTTCAGTTCCTAACGTACAATACTGTTCCATGGGCAGATGAGAGAGGGTAGGTGTGCCAGGCCCTCTCGCTAATGCTTAAACTCTCTATGCCGAAAAAGAACATATATCGCCTGATTATTGTGAAAGATGGATACCAGGGATGTCAAATCATGGGTTAGGCTGAGTTCTGGAGCCAGTGCTCAGCCTCGTAATGTGACTAGCCACTGCTTAAATCGCTAGGGGAAGACGTAGAGAGGCCTTTTCTGCTTCCCTTACCCAAATAGAAAATTCAAGGTAGAACATTACTTTTTAAAATCATGATAAAGGTTTTTTGTTTCATATATCCTTCCTTTTTTCCCCTTTTTAATTGATTACTTTAGGAAGATATATTTATATATTTATCATTGCTTTGACTTGTACTGTTTGAGACTTGAAAGTTCCAGAAGATATTACAATAATCTGGCATTTAACTGACAATAGTTGGATTCCTTGTAGACATCATTTGGCTAGATTGGATTTGGGAGTTAGATGAAGTGTATCCTGGAAAATAACCTTTTGGATCAATTCAACACATATTTTTTCAATGGCCTGCATGTTCATGGCACTATGCCAACCAATGAAAAATTGATTGTGCAGATTTATAACTGTTACATCTTTTTATTTGTCAGGGCTGCTTTTGTTCGACATATTGCAAGTTATTAAATGGTATGATCTATATCTTAAATATTTATCTGGAAGATCCTATCTTGTATGCAAAGCAATTAAACTGAATTCTAGAAGTTACGTGAGCAGCGCATGTTCAAAGCTGTGTTTTATAAATTTTAGCAAAAACTCTTATTAAAGGTATTAAAAATGATAACGTGGGCATGAATAAAAATTAGAAAGGATTAAAATGATCTAAGAGAGAAAATTTGAAGCCATGAGCTTGGAATGTAACAAGGAGGAAAATGGGAAAGAGTGGATATTAACCTAGGTTACAATTTAAATTATTTAGAAACCTAAAAACGTCTATGCCCAACTTTATTTTCTGAGATTCTGCTAATTGGCTTGGATTAGAATCTGGGCATGGAATGGAATAAATGACCAAGGATAGATGAAATTAGAGAATTAAAAGTAAGGTCAAGGAAATAGCTCAGTGGATTAGAATGCCAACAAATAGGTGCAGGGGCTGGGGTTCGATCCCTGGGCCTGACATGCTGGTTGCACCACCAAGGCACGCTGAGATGACAATTGAGACTGGGTGCGGTGGTGCACCTGTAATCTCAGCTCTAGGGAGGCTGTAAACAAGTGGATCACTATGAGTCCGATCTAATAGTGAGACTCTGAACATCATGTAGACCCTTCCCTAGAAAAATACAAAATAAATAAATAAATAAATAAATAAATAAATAATAAATAAATATTAAAATAAAAGTAAGACCAAGGGAAATATACATGGAGGCCTCTGGTTTATAAAGAGTGTGTTCAGGCCCTTAGAAGATGATATTTGTCTTCTGTGTGGGAATCTTCATAAAGAGCAGAAATATTTGAAACAAATATTAGAAAAATGGACTTACAGTCTTTCTAGCTATAGCAAGCTCCAAAGGCAATAGAGGCACAAGATAGAGTATTTAATTGGTAGAAATGTATCGCCTCCCGTCAGGGTATCATAGTTTGAACAAAGGAATCAGGAGAATGAATGACTGGGATCACCTTTGCATGAAGATTGGTGAGATTTTCTAAAAAAAAAAAAAAAAAAGTCTAGCATTCATTGAGTACTTACCCTGCACTACGAGTTCTATCCCAGAAACGCATGGCTTATATTTAAGTTACTCTTGCTGAGATATGTATTATTGTCGTTATCATTTTATAATAAGAGCACTAGAGTATAGAAAGGTGAAGTAATTTCCCCAAGGTCACATTATAGTAAGTGACAGGGCCAGCATTTTAAACTCTATAGTAGTAAAAAACGGGCGGATAACATGAAACTGTAACGAGACTCAGAGGAAAAGGAAGAAAAGGAACTGATTTACAAATTTAGGCATGAAGGGAGAAAATAGAAATAGTTTTAGGTTGGACGGTAGTTTATTAAGGAGGGGAGCCATTCTGTCATTCACAGACGTGTTTGCACATCTATTCCATGTCCAAAGATTGTGTGGGAAGCAATGATTAAAATAAAGGTATAAATTTTAACTTTTTCACAAATAATATCTCTCTGGGGAGGAGCAATAGTCTGAATTTTTAAGTTTAACTAAGGAAAGCCCAGTGCAGCATTTGTCAAGGGTAGATTCTATCAATAATTGTGATCCTAACTAATATTTATTACAAGAAGCATTTTAGTAAGAGTTTGTGTTCTATTTTAAGGTTTTACATTTGCTCTTCAATTGAAAGTGACTT